ATTTTTTAATTTGTACTTCAAGTATTGACTTCTCGGAGGGATTTTTTTTTTTAGTTATCTAAAAATCTTTCCCAAGGTATTACTTGCAAATATATCCAAAGCTCTCGTGGTTATTGGAGAGAGAGATTCATCATTGCTAGCTCGTTTGTACATTCAAGATCTTGTGAAATTTCCTTAATACATTGGGAGTATGAGGTGGTTGCCCTGCCCATGCTTCAAGGACATTAGCATGTAAAATAGAATTGCATGCCTCTCTGCTTAAAAGAGATCGATTGTTTTGTCTTGTCTGTGGAAAGTCATTATATATGAAAATAATCTGTGAAGTGAACTTATATCCAGTTATGTCTTCATTGAAACAATAACAAAGTTTGGAATACTGCTTGTCTCTTAGAGACTGCCATTTCATAAGCTTTTTTATGTGCACATTTTAGTGCCTAAGAGTGTTTTACTGCTACCACACTCAATAGAAAGGTATAGACTACAGAGGTTAGGTTGATTGATATGTGACCTATTTAAATAGGATTCAAGTTTATCTAACTTTCCATTTGTGTTGGAATTTTCTAGGAACTATTTTAGATCAAAATATTTGACTAAAACATATTCATAAATCATCATTGGTATAGTCTTTTGATCCCACTTTCCTTTTTGATTTTGACGTGTAGATGGCTGATATTCTTGGCCACATGACATCTTCTTCAAGTCACGTGGCATCATCTACAACACTTATTATTGCACTTCTTATCATGCCCTATAACACGATATGGCATTCACACCTTTTCGAGGTGGCAAGTCAATGATTGATATGCATCTATTCAAACGGATCTCACATGGAAGCGCGTGCTTTCACATGTTGCCACCATCATTATGGAACCTGGTTTTGAGGCAGCAGTTAACTTTTGCTACTTGGAGAACATAGATGTTGTGAAACATTCTGCTTCTCGGGGAGATTAACGAGCTTATTGATATGACAGTAGCTGGATATCACTTCACAGAGACCAAGTCTGAGCAAAAATGTTTCACTGATTTTGTAAATGGAAGATCGTGTTTTAACATGTTTGGCCCGTCAGCTTAGAACTTAATATGCACGATATAACGAGCAATACTTTAATGGCGTTGCTTTATGGACATTAATGCCTTCGTCGCTGAACATAAAGCTTTCAATCTTCGGGGTGGGGGTAATTCGATTACCAGGAGGATATATGCTTGGTTGTACTAGTAAAATGTCACACCTCGGCGATCTAGGCAGTGAAGCATATCTTTCCTTTAATGGTTTCAGTTGATAGATGAATGCAACAAAACTATTTAATAGGATGCTTTGTTAAGCTCATTTTTTTTTATGTTTCGGAGGATTTGACAAGGCAAAGCAACTGCATTTGTGCCGTTTCATACTTGATTATGGAGCATTACTGATTTCAACTTTTTTTATGGTAGAAAAAATTCTGTTTAAAATTGAAGTCGAGTAGGAAATTGTGAGTTAGGCTACTTCTGTGCATTGTTGTTGAAAGAACACTAGATGAATAACTTCAATGAAGTACGTGTAGATGCAGGCAGTCATTTGAAGTGAGTGATTATGTGAAGATGGGTAGAATAGATACTAATTAAATCAAAGCAGACAAAAATTTTACTTTGGGTTTTGTGGTTGGCTTGTCCAAGATGAATAGGAATAAAGATTCTATCACGGTGGATTGCAACAAATGCATAAACACATCTCTTATTGCTGATTTATTTAGTTAGTTATATTTTTGATTGACTGTAGATACTCCATGGAAGATTCAAAACTTTTAAGTCATTTGTGGCGCAGTCTTTGGAGAAAGTTGGCAACTTATCTTCATTTGAGTTCTTCCTATCATCTTCAAACTATTAGTCCGGTGAAATTAGTTATCGTCGTTTGGAAAATCCATCGAGAAAGTACATGGGAAAAAATTATACCACGATAGATCTCATTTTGGCTCAAATCAAATTTGCTTCTATTAAGTCTACTATGCAAATTATTGAATGGAGTCAAATTGAACTCGTCTTTGCCCAAAATCAAGTAAATGCGTTGGACTTGGCTCCACATCATATTTCTAGTTATTACTGTGGAGATGTTGAAGAAAGAGTCGTGGTCGTTAAGAACTTGCACAAACAAGTTCAAGACAAGATTCTTACGCAAAATGAGAAGCTCGTGAAGATTGCCCACAAGCATAAAAGAATAGTTAAATCTAATGAAGGTGATTTAGAAGAAGTTTGTGAGAGATTTTTTAAAAACATTTCCTAAAATCATTTTCAACCACACATTATTACCCTTAACTTTTCCCTACTTTTTAATCACACTCTCTCTTGAAACAATCATTTAATCATTTTTCACTTGAAAAAAATCATTTTACTCATTTTTAGTTTTTAGTTGGAGAGGTCGATCATGTAGGAGAATTGGCTGCTGTATTATGCTATAGGATTGCTCAACTGCCTATGACTTATTTTGGGCTCCATTTAGGAGCATGGTTTAAAAGTATACATATATGGAACAATATTGTGAAAAGGGTGGAGAGGAGGTTAACGGGTTGGAAGCGTATGTTCCTTTCCAATGGAGGCCGTCTTACTCTCATTAAGTCTACTCTATCTAATATCCCTGCTCATATCTTGTCGTCGTTCCCAATTCTTGTTACGATGGCAAAAATATTAAAGAGGATTCAAAGGGAGTTTCTTTGGAGAGGATTAGGGGAGGAAAGGAAATTTCATTTGGTTAATTGGGTAGAAGTTTGTTCTCCTTAAAGGTTTTGGGATCTCGGATTGAGGAGCCTTATATTATTTAATAAGGTCTTGTTGGGTAAGTGGTTGTGGCGATTCGAAGTGGAGAAGGATAGTTTTTGGAGAGATTATAGGGGTAAAATACGGTGGTATGGAGGGGGATGGTGCTAAGTCACAGGTCGTGGTTCTTATGAAGTGAGCTTGTGGTGGTATATAGGACGAGGATGGAGTGACTTTCAGAATAGATTGACTTTTGTGGTGGGGAATGGTAATACTATTATTTTTTGGGATGATTGTTGGTGTGGAGATCAACCGTTAAAGGAGGGATTTCCTTCCTTGCATCATATTACTGTGGAGCCGTCTGCTATGGTGAATGAAGTCCTAGATATACACAACGAGAGTCTCAACTGGAACATTATTTTTGGAAGAGGTTTGCAGGCCGGATTGGGAAGTGGATGATTATGCGCTGCTCTTGACTTCTATGTATGATGTGCACATCAGGGTATGAGAGGGTGATCGTAGCAGATGGGGGCTGACACGGAATGGTATGTATTCGATTGACACTTATTTTAGATCTTTATTAGGATCTATAGAGAGTTCTTTCTCTTGAAAGATGGTATGGTAATGTAAACTACCTCCACGGATGACATTTTTATTATGGACGGTTGTTAGGGGACAAGTATTAACAGTAGACAATCTTCGAATAAGGGGTGCTCTATGCGTAGGAGTGGTGCTCTATGTATGTTGCAAAGTGGTGCCCTATGCGTAGGAGGGATGGGGAGACAATTGACCATTTATTCCTCCATTGTGATGCTGCTCAATTGTTGTGAAACGATATTCTGGCCACTCAATACATGGATTGGGTGATGCCGAGACGAATAGAAGATGCATTAAAAGGCATGAAGGAGAAAGTTTCGCGATAAGGATAGCAAGATTGTTTGGAACCTCATTCCGGGTTGCATCGTATGATGTGTGTGGAGAGAGAAACTTTCGGTGTTTTGATGATCAAGCGATTCAAGCACGGACATCAGAGCAAATTCGAGAATTATTTTATTTGACATTGTATATTTTGTTTAATTCTCGACTATAAGTCATATAGACAGGCTGTTCAATTTCATGTTATTTCTTTCTTGTTTAAATTGATAATACACTTTCTGTGTTTATATTTTGATAATAAAATATTTGATTACATATAAAAAAAATGTCTTATAAGAATCGGATTTTGGACTCAATTAATTCTGATAGCGAAGTATATATATTTATTGGAAAGTAGTATGTCAACTGATAGCCTATTGAGTTAGGGCTCCACAAATTGTATGGATCTCTACTTGGACTTTTCTATTGTTTCTCCCTAAAGGTTATGCTGACTGGTTTACTAGGGGATGGTAGAAGTTTCCCTATTTTCTAGTTGTAGGGGAGTTCCTAAGAGTTTTCAAAGTTCTTGTAATACACGTGCTTGAAATTGTCATCCATTTTTCCACTTATAATCCATTTGTTTTCCATTAATTTTATTGTCAATGGTTGAAAGAATGCATTGGAAATTGCTTTTGCTTGAAGGGTTGTTCCAATGCTCAACTATATCAACCTTCGTTTTGTAAGCTTTTGAGATTTTTGAGTTTGAATATTAAGTCTTTTTTTATTTGAGAGCTTTGATTTTCTTCTTTTAGAAAATTCTTCATGTCTTTGTTGGATTCCCTAGGGTCATGAGCTCTGATCATGTATCCCTTGTCGGATTCCTACTTGGGTGGTGCACTATTTTGTATTTTCCTTCGAGCTTATCCTAGCCAGTATTATTTCAGCAGTCTTGAAACCATCCTGTCATCATCAATGGTGTTTACAGCAAAGTTTTTATTTTATTTATTTATTTATTTTTTAATCTTGGAAAAGCTCACATAATTTGTGCATTGCTTGTTGGTTGAACTGTTAGTTTCTTATCATTAGATTTGGTGATACTTGTAGATTAACATCAGATCACCTTTTCCTATGAGAACACTTAAGCACAAGGAGATAATGAAAAAAGGTATGAATAAAACATTTTATATTTGCTAATTCATAGCCACTGCTCATTTTTGACAGATTTTGCTGCATAAGCAACAATAGATATTGCAGGCATTTTTTTGTGAGGCTATGCGATGGGTAGTAGAAAACGCAGATCATTGTGGGATATGGAAGATGAGTCTAAACATCTTTCTGGTATGAGTGAATTCAATTCTTCAACTGGGAAGGAGAACCATTCAAGTTTTCATAGTGGGCGCCGCAATGAAATTTCTGCATCAGGAATCTCTAGTGCACCGGAGTCCAGAGATCATTCTGGATGGCCAAATCGGGAATCTTTAGAGGGAAACACGGTTGCACCATTAGTTGACAGCTTCTACAAAAATAGACAAGATAATGCCGAAGCCAAGGAAATAGGCAGGGGAAAAAGCTATAACAAAAATTTATCTCCTGGTTTTGATGGGGCAGATTGGCATAAGCGTGATCAGACTCCCGAATATGATTGGAGCGGTTCTGGGAGGTACGAGATTGTATTTTTGTTTATTCATTTTGACAAAGTTGAAGTTTGAGTGCCATAATGGTGTGATGTTTCTTTGAAAGAGTAGTGTTGAACAATTTTAGGTTTGTCAGACTTTACTCTGAACTTGGATTTGGTATTTATTTTATTCACCTGACTTGTAGCTACCAAGAAACTGAAGCTGCATATATCTTCTTCCTTTTTTATTTTTTTGATGGGAATAGCTAAAGAAATCTTCAGTTGTTGACTGAAAGTTTTGATTTGTGCATATTATGGTAAGCCTATGGGTTGCTCTAGTTAAACAAGTAGACTATGTACATGCAGGGATGCACTTATTAGTTTTCAAATCATAATAGTTGGAATCTTATGAATGTTCTTTCTTCTCTGAATAATTGCTTTAGAATGCATCTTTCATCTTATTTGATTTTATAACTTGCTTGTCATTTGATGATAGGTACCCAGGAAAAGGCAGGAGCAGGAGCAGGAGCGGAAGGAGAGGCAGGAGTCCGAGCAGGGACAAGGCAAGGGACAGAGGAAGGGGCTGGAGCAGGAGCAGGAGCAGGAGCAGAGGCGAGGGCAGTGTAAGGGGTCAGACAAGAAGTCGTACTTCTATCCATGATCATAGACAATCTGGTGGCTGGAGTGATGGAAGTAGGCATGAAAAATTATCACGCACCTGTAGAGATTTTGCCACGGGAAGGTGCAGGAGAGGCAGGCAATGTAGATTTCTTCATCCTGATAGTATGAGCAGCAGTGATCGGGACCGTGTTGAAGATGACAGAGCTGAAAATCAGAGAAATAGACCAGGGCTTGGCCATATTTCAGGTCATATTCTAACGATAGAGGTCCTGGGTTCCAATCCCGAAATGATGTTTGCGATCCCTATTATGAAGAAGATGAACAGTTCAGAAACCAAAGTAGAAATGCATTTCCTTGCAGAGACTTTATGAAGGGTAAGTGTCGTTGGGGAGACACGTGCAGATTTTCTCATCACGAAGCTTCTGGTGATAGTTATGGCAAAGGTACTAGAGATGCATCCTTCAGTAGGCACATTGAACAACAAGCGAACAAAAATGTGAAACCCTCTTGCAAGTTTTTTGCAGCAGGCAATTGCAATCGGGATGATTGCAGGTTCTCTCATGACGGTCCGAAGCTGAACAATCTTGAAGGCAGGCCAGGTGAAGACACAAGCATCTTCAGTTTGGACGACAAGAGTAAATGGTGGAATGGTACGAGTTGGGACGATTCAGTCAAAGTCTCAGACAAAGTGAAGTCCACTGGGGGAACTGGAAGTGTTGTTGCTAACGTGAACGTTATTGGTGAAACCGCGTTAGGAAGAACTGACGGTAGATTGGACCATAGTTTGGAAATCGAGAGGAGAACTTGGGGAATCCCAAAACAGAATGAAAATTATTTGAAGAGAGACCAACAACTCTCTCTTCTTGGGGAAAGTGGTAGTTATGATGTGGACATGGGCATGACGGAATCTATGGTTAAAGAAAGTATAGCTGGCAAACAAGAATGCATTTTCCATGATTCACAATTGCTAAACGAGGATGGAATTTCACATGTTTATGGACAAAATACAATGCAAGAAGACCACAGTCTTTCTATAAAAACCTCGCAACAGAATGTTATTACTGATTCACATATTCAGCAGCACCACCAGGGACCTGTAGAGGATAATGACGTAAATTTATTTGGGTCTGATGCTCTTGATGAAGTAAATGGTTCTGGAAATGCCATACACCCAGTTCTTTTTCCTGGACGGATCTTCAATCAAAATGGCGAGAGCTTGTTCCCTGGAGATTCCTCGTTTTCAACTGAAACTGATAGAAACCAACATGTGCTCATTGACTTGAATCGGACTCAGCAACATAAAATGTCTCCTTCAAGGTTGCAAAGTCAGATGCAGAACCTTCACAATGCTATTAAAACACAGGTGATGTCAGAATTCCAGGCTTCTCAATTTGATTCCAATGCTGTAGCCAACGAGCAGGCTGCTCAAATGACAAAATCACCAGTTGCTAAAACTGGTGAACAGGGTGCTCTAGTAATAAATTCTTCTGCGTTTATGGCTCAGAGGTTTGTGAAAGAACAGCAGCCAGGATTAGACACATCCAGTTCAACGAGGAGGGTGCCTTCTTATTCTGATACTGCCCATTTTGTACCCTTCATCAACACAATGAATTCAAATCCGGCTACAAATTCTCTTGATCTGTTGGATCCCATTAGCTATGGCAAGGCAGATATCGAGAGCAACCATAATCTACCCTCTGCAACTGTGTCTGACTCAGTAGAACAGAAAAATCAGATGCCCGTGGAACGGTCCTCACAGCTATCTACTGTTGACGCTGTATTTGGCAGTTCAACTCTGAAACATCATGATAGTCCAAAAGCAAAAGAACCGAAAATAATTTCAATTTCTGAAGTCAATGGAGGCGATCAAACTGCTGATGAGGAAATCAAAGGTGGACAAGGAAATAAACATCCTGAAAATGTTGGTGGCCATGGGAAAGTTGATGACAGCAGTGCTATGAAGTATGACAAGGAAATGCGATTGTTCAAGAATGCTCTTGTTGAGTTGGTTAAGGAGATATTAAAGCCTAAATGGAAGGAAGGTCAGATGAGTCGGGAAGTTCACAAAACCATTGTGAAAAAGGTGGTTGACAAAGTGACTAGTACAATTGAAGACGATCATATTCCAAAGGTTCAAAATAAAGTAGAGCAATACTTGACTGCTTCTAAACCGAAAGTTACCAAACTTGTACAGGTAAGTCCACAAGTTTTATTGTTTCTTAGCTGTTGAGGTTCATTATTGAGTCCAGAACCTTTTTATGGCTGACCTTTTGGAGATCGTGCTTGAGCATATTGATTGCTTCTTTCTGCTTCTCAGAATCCCACTTGAAATAAGAGGAGAAATAACCACTGGAAATATTAAAAAAAAGACGTTCTTATAATTTTGTTGCCTGCCAATTCACACATGCCAGGTGGATTGTGGGAAGATGGGGGATGGGTGGTGGTGGAGGGTGCTTATGCACATTCACCCCATAAATCGTCGTTCATCTCGTTCCAGAAATATACTGGGTTTCTATCTTTTTTTTTTTCCTCTGATGGATTCCAAAGCTAAGATCCTACTTTTTTTTAGTGTGCATTGGTTTCAATAAAGAAAATTGTCTTCTTTGGGAATATACATTTCTTTGCTCATAAATACTTGATTTCTAAATTCACTGAAATGGGATACGCGTTTTTTTCTGCCACGAATATACAGAGTATTTTTGTTTTTTATCTGATAGTTCACAATGCTAACACCCTGCCTTTCTTCTCACTGCTTTTATCTCAAAGAAGGAAAATAGGCGTCCTCTTTGAGAATCGACATATTTACATTTTCAATTTATATTTTGATACTCAAGTATGTGCATAATGTGGCACATCTCATTTTCCCATGAATATAGTGACTATTTGTATTTATATTTGTGTCCGATAATTTGCGATGCTAGGATCTTACTTTTGTTCTCATCTGCAGGCATACCTGGAGCGCAGTCTTAAGACAGAATCTTGAATTGAAAATTATGCCTTGTTCCTCCTTTCGTTGTGTAATTGAATGTTTATTAGAATATCAGTCCAGCATTTTATTCTTTAGTTCTGCATAAGCTACTGGACTTTACTGCATTAGGGAAAAATACTTTCTGGGAATTATTTCTTGCCGATATCTTTCATTTTTCTCCCCTTTTTTTCCTTATTTTGTGGATTTGGATATAGAGAAGAAAGAGCATCACAAGAGAATTCTGATAAGTTATGTACAGTTTTTCTCTAAATGAATGTTTGCATTGCTGGATGGAAAGCTTCTGTAATGAAATCAGTTTGTAGCGTCCAAAGTGTAAGTTTACAAGTTAGGTTTTAAGTTAGCAATGTGTGACTCATTGAGGACAAGAAGCGTGTCTACTTTATTTACTTTAATCAGTTGTTTATGAGCCATTTAAGTGTGTACATTTTCCCTTTTTAAGATTCATAAGATCTTATGTTGTTTTACAATACACAAAATATTTCCAAGTCCTTAAAAAATAATATTTTCGTGTTAGTTTAGATGAAAAATGAATTTTTGAATTATCTTTTCCAACAAATATTTACTCAAACAAATTGAGTTTGGCCAGGCAAATTAGTTCTGTTATTTCAATTTGGCACTTAATGACTTTCACATTAGATTAGCCCTTATTTGAGTCACATTCTCTAAAAGCACATTTTTCTTCAAATTCATTTTTAATCACATATTTTTTCTGTAAAATATTTTGCATGTAAATTAAAAATTTTTCCTTATTCAAACAATTTCCAAAAATTTTCTATTAAAAATTTTATTTTTCACCTATGATTCCATTGCGTGTGCTCGGTATAGAAGTTTTATATAAATGTATCATCATGTTATTAAGTATTTTGAGTTAAGTTCTTGGGAATCAAATATGCAGGATTTATAGACAAGTATTCAGTTAATTTTCAAATGGAATGAAATAATTTCATTTATTGAATACGCAATACATTAGTATATATTACAAGCATATCGTGCTATGCATGGAAAGAAAATAATCTAAGACAAAAATATTTTATAAATGAAATAATCTTTTACAGTCTCTATAATTACGGTTAATACTTCCCCTCAAGTTGGAGTATGAAGGTTTGTAATGTCCAATTTGCAAGTGAAGTGATGAAAGAGGTCCTTCTCAAGAGCTTTAGTAAATGTATCAGCCAGTTGAAGCCTCGTAGGGACATGCATAGGAAGGATAAGCCCAGATAGATATTTCTTGCACACAAAATGGCAATCAATTTAACTATGTTGGGTGCGCTCATGGAAAATAGAATTCCGGGTAATGTGTAAAATAGTCTCATTATCACAATAGAGCAATATACGATGGAGAACAGCAAGATCAAGCAAAAGTGATTTGAGCTAAACAAGTTCACATGTAGCCATTGTCATAGCACGGTACTTAGTTTCACTAGAAGATCATGAAACAACAGTCTGTTTCTTCGTACGCTAAGAAATAGGACTAGTGCCAAGAGTGACAAAAAGACCAGTCGTGGAATGACGAGTGGTGGGACAACTAGCCCAATCAGAGTCAGAGTAGGCAGAGAGCTTAAGATCAACTGGGCAGAATAAAAAAGTCCATGACTTGGAGATCCTTTTAGATAACGTAGAACATAAAGTGTGGGCTTGATATGAATCCCGAGGATTTTGCATGAATTCGCTCGGTGTATGGACAGAGAATGAGGTGTCTGGCGAGTAATTGTGAGATACAAAAGTCGACCTACCAATCGTCGATAAGAACTGGGATTAGAAAGTAGAGTGCCATCATCAGGAGAAAACTTCAAATTCTGATCCATCGGGAAAGATGCAGGTCGTGAACCCAAATTACCAGAGTCAACAAGAATGTCAAGAGTGTACTTTCTTTGATTAATGAAAATACTATGCGGTGATCGGGCGATTTCAAGGCCAAGAAAGTATTTCATAGTACCTAAATCCTTGATCTTGAATTTGTCATTAAGTGATGCTTTGAGAGAAGTGATGGAAGGGAGGTCATTACCTGCAATCAAGATGTCATCAACATAAACTAAAACAACAGTGAAAGAAGGGCCAATAGTTCTAGTAAAAAGTGAGTGATTAGCTGTAGATTGAGTGAAACCATCTGACAACAATGCAGAGGACAGTTTCGAATACCAATTACGAGAAGCCCGTTTGAGCCTATATAGAGATTTAAGTAGACGACAAACACGAGTCTCCCTCTTTCGACCATATCCGGTAGGAAGGGTCATGTAGACCCCATTTTCCAAATCTCCACGAAGAAATGCATTATTGACATCGAGTTGGTGGAGATACTAATTACGGTCTGCTACAATTGCCAAAACACAACGCATAGTGACAAGTTTGGCTACAGGAGCAAAGGTGTCATGATAATCAAGGCCCTCAACGTGAATGTAACCCTTGGCCACCAACCGAGCTTTGTATCTCTTAATGGAACCATCTGCATTGAGTTTAGTTTTGAAGAGTCATTTACAACCAATGGGTTTTTTGCATGGAGAAAGAGGTGTAAGTAGCCAAGTATTATTAGATTCAAGTGCCCGAATCTCAGCTTGCAAAGCATCACTTCAGTGGGAATGTCTAACAGCTTGAGAGTATCGAGTAAAGTCAGAGGATTGTGATAAAGCAGATAGAAAAGCAAAATGATTAGTAGAAAAATTATGATATGAGACAAAGTGTGAAATGGGATGAGCTGTACCTGAAGATGCAATAGGAGCGGTGGAAGCAGTAATAGATGAAGTTGATGGTAAGGTAGGACAAAGGTAATCCGCAAGATGAGCAAGACATTGTATAGTACGTTGAGGACGAGTGGAAGGGGGTACAGGGACGGGTTTTGGAGGAGAGGAGGGAGCTGTTGGTGGGGTAGTAAGATCAGAAACAGGAATAGGTAAGACGGTGGGCGAGGCGGGGGGCTGAGGTAAAAGTTTGAAGGGAAAAACATGTTCGAGAAAGGTAACAGTCCTAGAGATGATAATCTATTTGTTTCTAAGTTATAAACCCGATATGTACTGTGAATGGAGGGGTATCCTAAAAAAACACATGGGCGAGCTCAAGGTTGAAACTTATCACGGTGAGTGGAAGTGGTGTGAGTATAACAAAGGCAACCAAATACCCACAAATGATCATAGTGAGGTGCCTGTTGGTAAAGGCGCTCAAAAAGGGAAATATTGTATATGGAAGGTGACGAGATGCGATTGATGAGGTAAGTAGCGGTGATAACACATTCTTCCCAAAAAGTGAGGGGAAGGTGAGCTTGAAAGCGAGACATCGAGCCACATTTAAAAATATGGCGATGTTTTCGCCCAGCAACACCATTTTGTTGGGGTGTCTCCACGCAAGTGCGTTTGTGAATAGTACCTTGTTTAGAAAAAATCTTGGGTGGTTCGGGAAAGAAACTCTTGACCATTATTAGTGCGGATGTGACGAATTTTAAAATTGAACCGAGTATGAATCATGGCAAAAAATGCACGTAAACAAGATAAGGTTTTAGATTTAAAACGCATTAAATACAGCCATGTGATTCGAGTGCATTCATCAACAATTGTTAAAAAATAGTGTGCACCTTAGAGAAGTGGTATGGTAACCACTCCAAATATCATAAAAAATGCGTTAAGGCATCAAACTTTTATTCACAACTAATTGAAAAGGTAATCGAGTATGTTTCCCATGATTACACGCATCACAATGTTCAATAATTTTAGGTAGAGAAATAAAATGCGGAATATTATGTAAGGAAGGGTGACCCAAATGTTGATGCCATGTGTCAAAGGAAATCGGATTGGATGATTGAAGAGCAGTTGCTGGAGCTGGCTTGAAGTAATATAGTTCGTTATGCTCTTCACCTGTCCCAACCAGCATCTTTGTGGTTAGGTCCTGAAATGTGCAAAAAGAGGGAAAAAAATGAGACAACACAATTGAGTGATTTTGTTAGTTGACTGATGGTTAACAAATTAAATTTAAAATTGGGAATTGACAAAACATTAGAAAGTGAGAGACGAGAGGTCAAAGTAATATCACCCGTACTGGATATGAGAGACTGTGAACTTGTTGGAAGACAAACAAAAGGTGGACTAATATTGTTATATGAATTATTTAAGGGCAATTTGGTAATATGGTGTGTGGGTCCACTGTCTATTACCGATAGTTCACAATCAAAGGGAGAAACAGAGATGAAACCTGCAAAAAGTGAGGGATGAATTCTTGAGGAGTTCCAACAATTGAGGGTATTGATCGGTGGAGAGCCCAGGGATTTCATTCACGGTTGAAGCCGAGCCTTCGGTGGACACCTGATGGGCAGCCGAAAAACGATGATTTGGTGCGCTGCGTTTACTCTTGGAGGGCTACCAATCCGGATACCCAATGATTTCAAAGCACTAGTTCCTTTGATGACCTGGTTTACCACATGCCTCACAAAGTGGCGTGCCAGCAGGCTACATACGGTGAGATTGAGACGAGGATTTTGGCTATGTCGAGCGGACGGTTAGGGCAAATACATCCGATCGAGATGGGGACAATTGAACCAATCTTTAGATCTCTTCTTGATGTAGAATAGCATAGCATTTGCAAATGGAGGAAAGTGGATCGATAGCCAAAATTTGCGATCGAAGTTGTTGAAAGCTCTCATAGAGGCCCATGAGAAATTGATAAACTTTGTCAGTCTCTCGAAGTTCAGCCAGTGATCTGGAAGGCCCACATGTACATGAATTTGTGGGTTGTAAGGAAGCTAGTTCATTCCATAACTCCTTCAATTTGCCATAATATACTGTGATTGGTTGCTTTTCTTGGTGAAAATTAGCCAGTTCTCGTTTTAGTTGGAAGATTTTGGTATGGTTGCTCTGTTAGAAACGAGTCTCTAGTTCTACCCACAAGTCGTTTGGTGTGGCACAGTAAAGAGGGCTGCCTGTAATTGGTCGATCAATTGAGTGTAAAAGCCATGACATTACCATGTCACATCATTGGTCCCAAGTAGTGCTGCAGCGGTGTCATCGGTGGAACGCTTGATGGTCCCGATAACAAAGCCCAATTTGTTCTTGGCATTGAGTGCACGAGTGATTGATCGGCGCCAAGCTGGATAGTTGTCCCCATTAAGTGGTGTATCAACAAGAAATTGGTTTGGTTGATCAGATGAGTGTAAGAAGTAGGGGGATGAATCATCTATGAGTGATTTACTTGCATCTAAGGCAGGGACAGAATCAAAGTTGGCCATGGCAGAAACAAGGTTTGCAGTTTTGAAACCTAATCTCTGATACCATGTTAATTTTCATATGGAATGAAATAATTTCATTGATTTAATATGTCGTACATTAGTGCAGATATTACAAGTACATCCTGCTATGTATGAAAAGAAAATAATCTAAGGCAAAAATATTTGATAAAGGAAATAATCTTTTACAATTCCTATAATTACGGTTAATATATTCGGTTATTGGGAAAAAATCAATATACTTCTAATGTTAAATCAAGATCAACTAAAAGTGGAGTTCACACATACACACACATTGAAATTGTTAATAAAATTTAATACTTATTTGTGAGCTATAAAGTAAGCCAAAATTAACTCTTACGCCTCTATCTGAACCACTTCGGAATGTCCTCTACCACATCATGTGAGGTGTGGAACACTTATCCGAAATGGTTCCGAAGTGACTTCACCAATGGTGATGATCTGCTATCATACTACGAGGTATGGGCAATTCTGCGGGATGGACCGAAGCGCCCTCGCCCCTGAATCTGAGGCGAAATGCACTCCGGGACATCTATCAGAGGATCCACCGTCAATTTCAGAATGAGATCTTTGTCAAGATCTTTTCTGCTCCTAAAGTTTAAAATGATTTGATGTCTCCATGAGGCTAGTTGATGTGACGTATCAACTTTATGTCACTCAACTCGGGAGAAGTAATTACCCACCTACTCTATAGACGCGGCTGATTGACGCCTATAAGCAGACGCTTTATATCGTCAGATGTATACACGTGTCCCACATTCAACGGTTCTCCCCACCTATAAACACCCAAGGCTTGGCAAGAGGCAAAGGTAATGAAACTCTTACTACTTAGCACTCCATAGCAAGCAAATATATATATTCTCCTTCCCACTATTTTGCACAACCTTGGTATTGTTCCTATCACTTGAGCCTAACTTGATCGTCGGAGTGTATACGGTCGCCGCCACCCCCACTGGTTCCGACCGTGTGCATCTAACCGTGCGTTGATTGTGCCAGGGAGGAATACGTGGAGTGGCTATCGGTTGGCCACATGGAGGGTCTAATTTTCGAGGTCAACAGATTGGAGCCGTCTGCGAGAAACTTCCCGTTCAAAGTTCTGCATTCTCTACCGAAGAAATCACCGAAAAACTAGCGACTTACCCTGAAAAGGGCGCGTTCTTGAAAAAGAACAAAGTTGAGTTATAACCGAAGTTCTCATCACCCTTGAAAAAGGAGATAGAATAAGTTCTAGCCATGAAGACGACAACCCCATAAGAGAGGCCTCTGAAGAAGAGGTGCTCCATAACAATGTCACTTACCAGAGACCCCATCACTGGTGTCGCCGAGGTGAAAGAACGGCCACGCTCACTAAAGGAATAACTCAAATAGCTACGGGCATGAGAGACATCGCAGCTCAGAATATGGCGATGCATGAACTTCTCATGCAAGCCCGAGATCACTAGAGCTCTCAAATGCCCCAAGGATTGTACCCAGTGTAAGAAGCCCCTGTATCTTGTGCCTGAGGCCATATGAGCCAGCATAGAGAATGCTCCCTCGAAAGAGAAGTGGGCAGTGAAGCCACATCCTATGTGCAAGGGAGCCAGCCAGCAGAACCACAGCTAGGGGACAATTTTCCTCAAGAATATAAGGAACAGAGGTCAGTAAGCGTCTTCGACCGAATAGGGCAGAACCCTAGCAATAGGGTCCGCTCAGTGCGAAAATCAGTTCGGCGAGACCAGGAGCAAGAACAGGCACCTCCTCCTCCTAGAAATAGGAGAGATAAGAGGAACCTAGTCGATTGGGGGAGCCGAGGAGAAGCACCTCCACCTTCCCAGGATATTCAAGATGATAATGGGTCAGATGGACCTTGTTGATCTTATGAAATTCACGATGATGATGATAACCTCCATTTCTCAAGAGAGATCCGAAGCTTTCCAATGCCAGTGAACTTCATGCCTCCTAAGATCCCCAAGTATGAAGGAAATGGGGACCCGGAGAAGCACCTTACCAAGTACATGACACAGATGAGTCTCAGGGGAGCCTCGCCTGCTTTGAAATGCAGAGCCTTCCATCTAACCCTAGGCGGAGCTACTGAAGTGTGGTATAGCAGACTTCCTCCCCTGAGCATTAGGAGTTGGCCAGATTTGAAGAAAGCATTCTTCAACCAATATCTCTCATGTAGAGCCTACAAGATATGAGGCAGGTCCCTGGAGAGACGATGAAAAGCTATCTCGCCAGATTTATAGACGAAATCACATACTGCGAACAGGTCACTGACAGAGAAGCCCTTTCAGCTCTGAAAGGTGGCCACAACATAAACACTTTATTCTGGAAGGACGTGCCCAGCAAGAATCCTGCCACCTATGATGAACTGGTGGAAATGATGAGAATGGAAATCGTCAGTGAAGAAATGATTGATCATCGAAACAATGCTGCGCAGGGACTCCCTCCGCCTCAGAGGTAGGTAGGTCGAGGACCCACAGCGGACATTGTCACTCAGTAATGGACTCAAGCAGGTCACACAATAGCTCCCACCTCTAGACAGGCACTGGCTTCCGCCACACTGAATGTAGTGCCAGTATTGGCTTACGAGAATGCTCCTGGCGAAGCAGGACCATCTGGAAGAACTGATAGTAAGAAGAAGAAGAAGCGATTAAACAGGCCCTTGGAAGGGACAATGTTTTGCACTTTCCACCAACTTTATGGGCAAGACACCAACGAGTGCAGAGATGCTCCTCGAAGCTCGGATCGGAGCGAGTCACACCCCTTCAGGAGGAACGAATATCTTCGCAGATCCGCCTCCCCGAACAGGGGAGAGAGAAGGCATAGAGAGCAATCACCCCGGAGAAGAGAATCAAGGGACCAAGGAGAGTCCAGAAAAAGAGATCAGGCCTCATTTTCTGGGGCCCAAATCATCAGAAAAATCGACACAATCATTGGAGGACCTCACATCGACGGCAACACCAGGAACGCCCAAAGGAATTACACTAGGGAAGCAAATGACCCACCAATGATCACTTACATTGTCAACGAATCCCAAGAGGCCAACAAGATAGCTCCAATTACCTTCTCCCAGGAAGATGCACAAGGAGTTCACCACTCCCATTGTGACGCATTGGTTGTGAGAGCCGTAGTGGCTAGAAACGGACTCAAACGTATGCTCATCGACAATGGCAGTTCGGTGAACATACTGTTCGGCTCCACCTTTGACAAAATGCAAATTCAACCCATGATCGACCCACTATTAGGATTTACTGGAGACAGCATCATCCCATGAGGGCGGATCACTCTACCCGTTGAGATGGGTTCAATACCCTTAGTGGCCCAACACTTCATGGAATTCTTAGTGGTAGACCACAGATCGGCCTATTATGGAGTATTTGGAAGACCTGCTTTGAAAGATCTTTGGGCCGTCACATCCATCCACTACTTGTGTATGAAATTTCCAACTGAACATGGGATTGCTACGGTCCGAGGCGACCAGATGGGCTCCAGGGCATGTTACTTGAACTCTCTGCGAAAGTCAGAGCCCCGAATTGTTAACGTGATTATAACTGAAGTTGCCAATGAAGCCAGTATGGACGTGAAAATGCTCGACGCCCCTGAATAAGGGCATACCTCCGAACAGGAGGAAGACGTCGACATGGAAGAGGCCTCTGAACAAGGACACCCTCTTGATGAGTTAGATCCCCAGATAATTGACTCTGAACCAAATGCAATCCCAATGGAGAACTCGAAACTTTATCCACCAACCCAGAGGACCCTAGTCAGGTCTTGCGAATAGGGAATGGACTGTCCACTGAAGCAAAAGAAGGGATGATAAGCTTCCTGAAAAAGAATTTGGATGTCTTCACTTGGAAGTATGAAGACATGGTGGGAATAGATCCAAGGATCAGTTGCCACCATCTTAACATGAACTCCTCCTGTACCCCTCATCGACAGAAAAGACGTGCACTCAACCCAGAGAAGTACAAGGCACTCAAAGACGAAGTAGGCAAGCTTAGTCGCACTGGCTTCATAAGGGAAGCCATCTACCCGAAGTGGATATCCAACCCGATCCTGGTAAAAAAACCCAGCGAGAAGTGGAGGGTGTGCGTAGACTTCAACAACTTGAATAAGGCGTACCCTAAAGACAGCTTCCCACTTCCAAGGATAGACCAACTTGTGGATTCCACCGCTGGACATGAACTATTGAGCTTCATGGATGCATATTCAGGGTACAATCAGATACCGATGTTCCGACCTAATGAGGAAGCTACGTCATTCATTACAGATAGAGGACTCTACTGATACAAAGTCATGCCCTTTGGATTGAAAAATGTTGGAGCTACATATCAGAGACTGGTCAACAAGATGTTTACCGAACTCATTGACAAAATCTTAGAGGTCTACGTGGACGATATGCTAGTCAAAAGCCTCCAGGCAAGCGAACACGTAAGTCACATTGACTAAACCTTTCAGATACTTAGAAAATATAACATGAAGTTGAATCACCTCAAGTGCACCTTTGGGATGGCTTCGGGTCAGTTCTTGGGGCATATTGTTAACCAAAGAGGAATTGAAGCAAATTCAGTAAAGATAACGGCCTTGCTGGAAATGAGGTCACCTCAGAAATCGAAGGAGGTCCAAAGCCTCAATGGTCGGATAGTCGTGCTCAGTCGCTTTATCTCCAGGGCTACAGATAAGAGCTTACCCTTCTTCAATGTGCTTAAACAAGGAAAGAAGTTCCAATGGACTTCTGAGTACGAGGAAACCTTCCAAGCGCTGAAAAAGCACCTCGGAGAGGCGCCCATTTTCTCAAAACCTCAACCAGAAGAGTCACTGCTGCTGTATTTGGCGGTTTCGGACGTGGCGATCAACGTAGTCCTAGTCAGAGAAGAAAATGAGCGCCAGTTGCCAATATACTACGTCAGCAAAGCACGCCTCCCAGCTGAAACACGCTACCCAGACATGGAGAAACTGGCACTTGCCCACATCACAGCCTCAAGAAAACTGAGGCCATACTTTCAGGCCCACTCGATTGAAGTTCTCACCAATTTCCCATTGCAGCAAGTGCTACAGAGAACGAATGCATCAGGACGCTTGCTAAAATGGGCGATCGAGCTCAGCGAGTTTGACCTATTGTTCCGACCTCGACATGCCATTAAGGGTCAGGCCCTTGCAGATTTTGTGGTTGAGTGTGCTAAAGCCCTGGAAATGGAGGCAACAATGGAACCAACCGAGCCCCCGACATGGAAACTGTTCGTAGATGGATCCCCAGGAGAGGCTGGCTCCGGGGCAGGAATTGTCTTGGAAAGCCTGAAGGGTCACAAGCTAAATTGCGCAGTAAGGTTCAGCTTCAAAGCCTCGAGCAACGCTGCTGAATATGAGGTCCTTTTGGCAGGTCTTAGACTTGCTAAGAAAATGCAGGTCAGAAAGCTACTAGCAAGCAGCGATTCTCAGCTGATAGTGAATCAGGTCAATGGAAGCTTTGCGGCCAAAGACAACAGCATGGTTGCATACTTGAAATTGGTTCTGGACCTAGTTCCTCAGTTTGAAAGGTTCGAACTGATTCAAGTCCCACTCCTAGAGAATACACATGCAAACGCCCTTTCAAAATTGGTCAGTAGTAAGGATTCTGAGCTACTAAAGGTCGTCCCTATTGAATACTTATCGAAACCCTCAATTTTCGGAGGTGAAGAGGTACTATGGATAGAAGGCACCCCATTATGGATGCAACCCATCATCGCCTATCTAAAGGATCAAACACTACCTACTTCTAGAAGCGAGGCAAGGAAGTTAAGAAGAAGGGCTGCGCACTTCGTCCTGCAAGAGGATATGCTCTACAAAAGAGGCTTCGCCTTACCACTTCTCCGATGTGTGGGAGGCGAAGAAGCCACATATATATTTAGGGAAATCCATGAGGAAATCTGCGGAAATCACTCTGGAGGAACGGCTCTGGCACACAAGGTTCTCCGTCAAGGCTACTTCTGGCCGACCCTAAAAAGAGATGCTTGCTAGTTTGTCCAGAAATGTGACAAGGCCAGCGCTTCTCAAATATTCAAAGGCAGCCTTTTCAGAGACTCTTCGTAGTGACCAGCCCCTGGCCATTTGCCAAATGGGACATCAACTTCATTAGTCCACTCCCAAAAGGAAGGAGAAGCGCGACTTTCGCCATTGTCGCCATTGACTACTTCACCAAGTGGGTCGAGGCTGAACCTCTTACTAAGATCACCAGGGAGAATACTACAAAATTCGTCTGGAAGAATATCATTTGCAGGGTCGACATTCCCCACTCTTTAGTGTCCGACAACGGGAGACAGTTCAACAACACGAAAATGCAAGAATTGTGCGACGAACGGGGGATAAAAAAGGATTTCTCAACACCTCATCACCCGCAAGCAAATTGACAAGTTGAGGCAGTAAACAAAACTATCAAGCGTACCCTAAAAGGGAAGTTGACACCTCAAAGGGGGCTTGGGTCGATGAGCTTTCCCACGTCCTCTAGGCCATCAGAACCACAAGCCGAACTCAACAGGGGAAACACCATTCTCAATGACCTACGAAGCCGAGGCCATGAGCTCAGTCGAGGTCCGGGTCCCATCGCACCGTCGAATATATTTCAACGAGATCAGTAACGATGAGGCTCGAGTAAGTAAACTCCACCTCCTTGAAGAAAGGAGGGATACCTCCCAGGTGAATTTGGCAAAGTATCATAGAAAGATGACCTGCTATTATAACTCTAAGGTCAGAAATTGAACTCTTCGCCTGGGGGACCTCGTCCATAGAATGGTCTTCCAATCATCAAAGCCAACCGGGTCCGGAGTGTTGGGACAGAACTGGGAGGGTCCTTACCGCATCCGTAAAGAATCCCGACCTGACACTTTCGAAATTGAAGACATGGTAGGGAAAGCACTACCTCATCAATGGAACATCGAACACTTGAGGAAGTACTATCAGTGATGAGATCTCATTCCGATCCGATCTCAATGTTGTCTAATAAATGTATGTCCTGATCCAATCTCGTTTGTAATTTCCCTAGCTTACTGAGTGCTGAAAATGCCTTAGTAAAGGTAATGTAACTTCTCTAAGTAATGATACTTCAGTTCTTTGTCACATCAGTTAGTAAATGGCTATTGTTAAGAGGCGCTTGATGTTTACTTAAGTGATCTGATCTTTTGATTATTGTTAAGATGCGCTTAATCTTAAGTGCTTGTCATTCATATATGTGTAAACAGATCAACACGATAAGAAAACAGAAGCAACAATACTTGGCAAAAATTTCATTTCATTCACTTGAAATTGAGTTACAAAAGAGGCCGAAGTCATTACAAGATTAGCCCTATTCTACAGGAGGGCCTTCCCCGCCAGCCTTTGCCTCGCCCGCCTCGGGGGCCTCTAGAGCGTCCTCGGCAAGCCTATCAAGCCAGCCTCCAGTAGGTCACCCGAACTCTGCCTCTAAAGGGGAGACGTCCAGAGTGGGGTGGACCTCTTTCAGCCGACCCAATAAGCCTTGTGTACTCCAGGAGGCCCAAAAATTTGCAAAGTCGTCGTACAGGGGATGCTCCTCGAAGTGGTCAATGAAATTTTGAACGGCCACTTCCCCTGCCGACTTCAGTTCCTCCTTCAAGGAGGCGATTTCCTCAGATTGGGCCTCCGTCCTCTGCCTCAGCTCCGCTTTTTCTTTATTGGAGGCTTCCAATGCCTCCGTGGCGAGTCGGTGGTGCTCATTGGTGTGATCCACTCTTCGGGTCATAGCAGCCACTTGGCACTCCACTTCATAGAGCTCATTCTTCAGCCGCTCTATATCTCCTTTAGGCAGCCACCAGTTGGGTCTCAGCCTCCCTTCTTCCTTTCTCTTCCTCCGCAGCCTAGGCCCGGGCCTTCCTCACTACATCCCCATATTGCATCGCCTCCTCGAGGCGCTTGGCGAGGTCCTTCCTCTTAGCTTTGAGGTCTTTCACCAAGCCTTCAAGCTGGATGCTGGTGCTCAGAGCCCGGGCCACACAGGTACTATTAGCCACCACTAAGTCCTCGACAGTGCATGAGGCGGTGTGGTCCCTCCATTCTTCGATCCAGTACTTATTGTGGACCACCGTCACTGCAGCCGTTTCTGGGGGGAGAGCCTCCAATATTTCTTTTACTGGCTCCTCAGAGTTCGTGCCCAAGAAGTCCACGTCCTTTAAGGGACGGGCTCTTTTCCTCTTGGGCTGTCCTGGCACCTGGGCGAGAGGCACAACAGCAACTGACAGTGTGGCCAGGGTAGGAAAAGCCTCTGATGGCACAGGCGTTTTCTCCGAAATGGCCACCCTGATAGGAATTGTAGTTTGCCTCAGAACGGGGGGTGGCCTCGCCACCGTTGATCGCTTTGAATGGGCAGCAGGCTTTTTGCCCTTTCAAAGCAGATTGGCCTCAGGATCCTCAAGCACCTCCTCCTCCGTCGGAGGCTGGAGCCTCTTGCTGGCGTCCACCAAGTCCTCCATCTGCTTCTTATAGGCGGATGAGGAGGTCTTCAAGGCCCTTGCTTTGGCCATCATCTTTTGTATGGTCTTGAAGTTGGCCGGAAAGGCATCTTCTTATTAAAGTTATCTGCAAGAAACAAGTAAATTAGTACAAGTGTAAATGACTCGGAAGTACTGAAAGGTACTCGCTTCGAGATATTACCTTGTGAGGCCATCAGGTCGTGCGTCACAAAATGAATGTTCTTTCTGATCAGTAGGTGGTACGACCTCTTCTTCGGAGGTAGCTGATATATGACGCAGATGATGTCGAAGTCGTCAGTGGACAACTTGCACCGAGGAAGAGTCCCTTCAAAAAATAAACACAAATGTTAGTTATGATCCGAACCAAAGAGAAATAAAAAAGAAACACAGTTACAATACTCACTAAGTGACGAGTACTTTGTGGGGACCTTAAGAGGTGCCAGGGGGTCCCCCTCCATCGTATCCCATCTCCCGACAGCCCAGCACCATGAGCTCTTCCACTCCTTGATGGAGCTCGACAGATCGAGCACGAAAGTAGTGTGGGAACCCCAAGAGGTCAGGTAATACCAGCCCCTGGTCTTAGCCCCCCCACCCCCGGCTATTACTTTGGGAATGTAGAGGGTCTGAAAAACAGAGAAGGGCATCTTTACCCCAAGCGACGCCTCTTTCCATAACACCGAGGAGCTTACCATTTGGCTCCAGGAGTTCGGGTTCAGTTGGGTTAGTGCTAAGCCATAAGACCTAAGCACCATCCGGAAAAAAAGGGTGAATTGGAAGCCTAAGACTGGCCCTAAGGATCACCTCGCTTATCACCACGCACCCTGGCCTAGGGTAGCAGCCCTCTCGTCAGGTTCGGGTAGGATCAGGTCTATACTATCTATATTCAGTCCTAAGTCTCTCTAGGTCGGCCCTCTTTAGCTTGGAGGGATAATTCGACCCCTCCCAATGCACAGAGGTATCTGCTGGGCTATCCGGCCTCTTCCAAATGTTCTCCCCCCCAAGTATCGCTTCAGCTACTTCCGAGGAGGTCGCCACAATGGGCTCGTCTATCCACACTAACTCCAGCCCTCTCCCCGAACTAGCACTACCCTCAGAAGCTATTTTCAGAAAGGAAATGTCTCAAATATTTACTGAAACTTACGAGTTTTGAGTGTTCCCTAGCCGAAAATGGTCAAAAAGCGGTGTGTGGTCGTCGAAAATTTGAATTTCTCGTCGAAAATGCTTGAAGAATGCCAGAAATCGCAAAGAGTTTGAGAGCAAATGGGATTTTCTATTTTCGCAAGAGTGAAAACCTCCAAAAACGCTCAAGTCTGCCTTTTATAGAGCGCTCCACCTAATCTCCACCGTTGAATTCAAATGCAATCAATCTAGGTCGTCCGTCGCATCATCAATCTAGGCCGTTGACATGAAACGCCAGATTTGATCTACGCCTAAGATTTTACTGTGACCCTCACGCTCGCATAAAACGTGTCGCCTCAGTCACCTCTAGCCGTCAACAATAAGTAGCCACAGTAGCCTTTGAGGGGAATAGGCGCTGCACCCAACTATCACCTTGGAAATACGTAACAGCTGTCAAATCATTTAACGTCAGATACGCCCGCCTCGGATCGAGCTCCTCACTCAACTTTACAAAATTTAGACGCACCTGACGCGGAGTCCCCTATGGGTCATCGCCTCGGTTGCTGCATTCCCTCTTAAACTTTACAAAGTTTTAGTCAACTCCCAACACGTCATCCCCTGTGGGTCGGCGCACTGGTGGCAGATGAGCTCCTCACTGAACTTTACAAAGTTTAGACGCACTTGACGCAGAGTCCCCTGTGGGTCATCGCCTCGATCGCTGGTTTCCTCATAAGCTTTACAAAGTTTTAGCCATCTCCCAACGCGTTGTCCCTGTGGGTCAGCGCATCGGTAGCAGATGAGCTCCTCACTCAATTTTACAAAGTTTAGACACTCTGACGCGGAGTTCCCTGTGGGTCATCGCCTCGGTCGTTGCGTTCCCTTCTAAGCTTTACAAGGTTTTAGCCATCTCTCAACGCGTCGTCCCTTGTGGGTTAGCGCATCGATGCAGATGAGCTCCTCATTTAGCTTTACAAAGTTTAGACGCACTTGACGCAAAGTCCCCTATGGGTCATCACCTCGATCGCTACGTTGATCGTCTCCCTACGCATCGTCCAGTTGGACAGTACCTTGATCTCACATAAATTTTTCCCTTACGCAATGGCGAAACTTTAGCGCATCTACCTAGGATCAACGCTTCGACGAACACAGAAGATCAATCCTCAAGTTCTCACAAATCACGGTCGCCATCCCGAGGCATACATACTCGATTGGGAAGACAAGTCCACCCATGATATAAATATTCGTACCTGGACTTGGGGAACCACTGTTATGCTCCTATCTGAACCATTTCGGAATGTCCACCACCACATCATGCGGGGTATGGAACACTCATCTGAAGTGGTTTCGAAGTGACTTCACCAATGGTGACGATCTGCTATCACACTACGAGGCGAAATGTACTCCGGTGACCTCTGTCGGAAGATCAGCTGCCAATTTGATCTGTACCATTCCGCCACCCCCAATTTACTCTGAGGACCGCTATCGGTTGGTCACGTGGAGGGTCCAATTTTCGAGGTCAACATTAACTATACGTATTTGAAAGATTGAAAGGTAAACTAATGGACAGTTAAAAACATACCAAAAGGTAGAAAGGTTTTGCATAAAAACACATAAGATAACGAAATTTTGTAAGTATAAAACTACAATTTACCATTTACTTTTACTAGAAAATTGTATTGGATTGAATTGAGAAAGATAAATCGGGCCTTTCAAGTTCAAGATAGCCAAACGTTATATGGTTTGATCCTAGTCATACACCGATCAACTTTTGTTTCTACTAAGTACATGAAGAGTTCTAATTGGAGTGGTTAAAGTACTGCAATCAATAATCAAACAATTAACTTAAACTTTGCTTAAGTTTTAAGCGGTTTTGATTACTAGAACTTAGAATTGACGAGTTTTGATTTGATTCTTGATTCTAGTACAAGTATTGAAATTACCACCTCCTTCTTCGGCCTTTTTAATAATAGAATTTTGTATGGTAATTATATATATATAAATTTTCAAGCTTTCCATTTTAAAAACATTTTTTTTGATAGCTCAATGAAACACGAATAATATTTGAATTGTCCAAAATTTCACTTTGCACAATTTTCCTATTATGACGAGTCAACTCATGGTCACCCCTCGATTCATATTGTCGCAGCTGGTTCTTCACCATCCTTCCACATTAGAATACCACCAGTTTTTTATTTTTAGAAAATTAATTAAGAAAAAATTGTTCGATTCCCATTTTTCAAAAAATGAGAATGAAAAATATAGTCGTTATAGGACCCACACAAAATATAGAAAATCAAATATAGTAATTTGATATGATAAATAACGACTATATTTTTTATTTTTATAGTCAAAGAATTAAAATTAAATGGGGCTTAAAATAAAAAGTTTAAAAACCTATTTCATTGTCCAGTGTCTTCTCCAAAATCCGTTTCTTCTTTGCTCTATATCTATAGGCTGCAACTGAATAACCACGTCCCCAAATTACCCCTACAAATGAACTTAATTACTTCAACTTGCCTTCCGATTACACGCTTGGGCCGTTACTGTACTGTAATTCCAACACCACAGCAATTTCTCATGAACAATTTCAGGCATTCATTCCCACTTTACCCCTGCTTATTTCTCGATACTCCCCAAAAGCCTTCCATTGCCTTTGCCAAGAAGAGAAATTCTCAGCCAAAGTCCGAGCCGATTCTCGAACGTTCCATTATCGAAGACGTCGCCATGAATGAGGATGAAGATATGGAAGATGACCCTTTTCTTGAGGATGGTAAATTTTTTCTAGAGGAAAGTTTATATGTGAATGCTTTTTATTTTTATGTTTATTTGACTAATTCGTATGATTTTGTTTATATTGATTGTTCGGTCATTTGTATTGTATCTCATATGAAGTATTTTTAGGCCTGTGTTTGAATTATAAACAAAGAACAATGTTTTATATCTTCTTTCCAAAGATATTTACTTGTGAGGAAAAAAGTTATAAAACACAACTACGGAAAATGCCATTTATGGGGATTTCAATTGAGACACATGAATGGTGCATTAGTTTCTTATTAACTTATAAGTTAACTTTGTAAAATTTGCATTGGAAAGCGATGTTGTGTAAAGGACGTTTTAAGAGCTGTGTATTTCAGCTCAAATTGGTCATTTGTTTGGATAATAAGAGAATATAGCTTTTGCACGATTGAATTGTCAGTTGAATAATTCGTGCATAGTAGTACCTTTCGGAACTTCTCCTACTTGGGTGTTTATACTCTGCTTGAGTATTGTCCTATGATAGTGAATGAAATCTCACATATTTTATATGTCTACTAAATAGAGAAATATTAACACGAATTTATACACTGCGCAGAGGAGGTTGTAGATGATGATGGTTATTTTGAGGACGAGTATTTTGCAGAAGAGGCCGAATCTTATGTAAGTTCCAAGTTACAAATGATCTCAATTTGAATTTTTATGTGAACCTTAATTTTAGCAGAATTTAGTTGTTAGATGGGTACTCCATGACATAAAACATTTGCATGGAGGTTGATATTTTTAATTTTTTTGCTTGTAGGTTGGGGATGGAGCTGGAGGAGGTGGACTATCTCTCGCTGGTACAGCATGGGATAGAAAAGCTTATGAAATTGCTGAAGAAGTTGCTTTATCTTTCAATGGAGAACTAGGTATATATGCCTTCAAGACGCTGCTAAATGCCACTATTCAAGTTCGTATTGAAAGACTTACAAATAAGTAAGCTTCTTTTCTGTATCTGATTACTTGTGAATAATGCAAGCTACCATTTGCTTTCAAATTCTTCTAGGAATGGATGAATGTTTGATCAAATTATGTAGTGGGGTTGACCATCACCAATTAAGATCTATTGAGAATCTATGCCTTAACTTTCTTGGATTTTATTTATTTATTATTTTTATTTTTTGTGGTTCAAGGGTTTGTGGCAGTTAGCAAGATATAGTGAAGTTCTGTTGTATGTTTGGACTTTGTTGCTTTGCTTCTTCTGCGAATCTGTTATTAAACCTTGATTGTTTCTTTGTCCATCTTCTGGACTTGATCTTTGACTCATTGTGACAGTAACATAATTATACAACATGGACTTCATTAATGAGATTTTTCGCCAGTGATTATTAAGTAAAATTCTGGATTTTTTTGTATTCTGCCAATGTAATCTTTCCTTCTGTAAATCATGTGATGCATGCATTAAAATTCGCAAAGACAAACAAGTGCATTTTCATGTCATTTTTTTCATTGGCAATGTCAGCATTTCCATTAGTTCATCAAATTTCCTACACTGATACAACAACTAATTTGGACAAAAATGATGATTCATTGTCCAAAATGGATCAATATTACAATGAATCATCATTATAAGTTGGTTGACTAACAATACTCTTAACCCTGAGAAGAATATACTTTAAGCCTTTTTTGTTGGGGTTTGACATGTGGAGGCCTTTGTAATATTTCACAGGTCTGGTTCTCCTAGTATGATGGATATTGAAACTTTCTCCACAACATATAGAGCATGGCTTGATGAAGCTGAGGCTGCTGGATCTATTCCCGAGAACATATCTCTTGAGGTTATATATCTTATCCCTCTTCGTCCATTGATCTTTTTTTGTTTCTTATACTCGGATCTACCAATTATCGACTAAAGAAACGGCTTTATAACATATTGAATTCACTATTTGGCATAAAGTGGCAAGATTGTTTTTGCGAACATTTTTGACTGATTGTGTTTCCTTTGAGCTTCTTTTGAAATGCAGCACAAACATATAAAATGCTCTCTCTATATTATATTGTATCATTTGAACTCATTTCAGTAATTATTTTACTTGCTTCAATAGTTGCATTGCTAGGTCGTCAATAATACATCTATAAAATTAGGATTTCCATTCTGATAAAAAATGAAGGAAATGAATTTATAGTCTTATAGTCCTCTAATTTGAATTCCCTTCTAACAGTAACATAGAACTTTAGGTTGATCTATTACTAATATATCTCATACTTGTTATAATCGAGTCGCTTGACTCATCGTTCGTATTTAAATGAAATGAATTGAAATTGATAATGAATTGGTTAGAGATGCTGGAACATGTTCGTCATTTGAGTGCTTATTTATTGTCCGACCATACTATTCATGTTCTAAATGTCTGCGACCCCTTGATTTCAGGTGTCTTCTCCTGGCGTTGAAAGAGTTGTTCGGATTCCACAAGATCTCGAACGTTTTAAGGATCGTAACATGTATGTGAAGTATGTCACTGAAGCAGCGGAGACTGGGTTATCATCTGAGCATGATGGAGTCTTCAGGCTCATATCTTTTGATTCGGAAGCTAGTAGTTGCACCTGGGGATTAGCAGATGTAAGGGTAAATAGAGAAAAAGCCGGGAAGGGAAGGCCACTTAGCAAAAAGTAGCGAGAATGGCGAATAAACACGCCGTTTGATTCCCTGCATTTAGTTCGATTGCATTCTGAAATTTAATGACCAATCATTTTTAATCCGCTCTGTCATATATCAAAAACGGGGTAGTAATAAAGACTGCTTTCAAGCATAAGAATCAATTCTTCCTCATAGTCCACACAAATGAGTAGATGAGAAAATTTTGTGTTACCCATGTAGTCAGCTTTGCCATGTTTGATCATCAAGAACGACGTACAGAATAGGAGCATGTTTTGCACACCATACTAGATAGTAATATGGACAAGATTTTAGCTTATTTTTCTTCCTTCAAGAGCTTTATACAGTCAAGAAAAAATTATACAATTTTTGTAATTTATGAGTTACTGAATTGCTACTAGCGTGAATTTCTGCATTTTTACTGCTTTTTTTTTTTCTTACTGTTGATTCCAGACAGAAAAAAAGGGCCCTCAATACTCTGCCATTTCGATCAAATTAGTTGAACATTACTATAACAGCTTGAGAGGATCGACTTTCCTTCAACGGGTACGCGATGACTTTTCTGTGACACTTGCAAAAATTTTGAATACCAGGGCACATTGCATCAAAAGAATGTCGTACTTATTATTGTTTCTGAAGTTTGCTTAATTGCACCAGTAATTCCATCACAACAATACAATAAAAAAATATTTTTTTAATAAATTATTTGGAGTTAAAACCATTTAAATGTCGAGACATCTGTTGAAATATATGCAACATGAATATTTACCAGGAAGAGAGTATGAATAATGTACTTCTGTGGCAAGTTTTTAAACACTTCACCCTGTAAAAGTTACTGGATTCTTCAATTTTCTTAGGCATAACCTTGATATTCTCTATTATCTTAACGCATGTTTGGTATACGGAATTGGACTGTACTGACATGATCAAGAAAGAGTAAAAAGAAGGTCAAAAATTGACTATTGTACCATGCAATATCATCCAATATTGTGCGACAAACATGCATGTTTATTACATTGAACCGTCACTTCTTGTATGTTTTCTATTTTGAGTAGTATAGGATGACTCGCAAATCTTGATGCGTGTTTTTCTTCCTTAACTCAGTCATATCTAGTTCAACGTACTAAACATATGTCAATTACAAAACTCAACATTGCCTCCTCATGCTAGGTACCAAACAAAAATAGACAAATCTAAGAGGGAAGATTGCAGTTTCTTCTCTCTCTCTCTCTATATATAAAAAAAAAAAAAAAGGTTAAACCCTAACCTTAAGGGTCCCCCACCACCCCTACCCTGGAGCATCGTGAGGGAGGTAAATCGCAGGTTATGCCTCCAAGGGTACAAGGTGGAAGGCTGCTTGTACACTTGCACTTACCCAAGAGCCAAATCCAGATTTCAGGATTCGAACCCTTGACGCAGCAGCCTCAAGTAAAGCTGGATTTCTCTACCCTCCCCTTTTACCACTTGGAGATGTGCCCTGGGGGCCTCTCTCTCTATATATATATATATGTGTGTGTGTGTGTATATATATATATAATAATAATAATAATAATCCCCGTCCCGTGAAAAGAGAGAGAGAGAGAGAGAGAAAAAAAAAAACAAAAAAAAAAAAAAAAAAAAGAAGAAGAAGGGGCGGCGTCTAGGCGGGGCTGGGTTTGGGGTGGGGCGGGCACCCGCCCCCTGCCATTACTACCTTAGGGTTCACTCATAAACAAGTCATAAGGATTTTTTTACACAAAATAAACCATAAAGGTTCTTTGACTGCAAAAGGGCTAAAATGAGAATTAATTTATATTAAATTAAGCAAAAAGTGTAGATGACTTATTTTGTTTATAATTTTCTCACTTTTGTTTTGCTTTGCTAAAGCCTCCTAACATAAAGAGAGACAGTACATTATGACATACTTGAAATTAAATTAGACAAAGAAATGATGAGAAATTGCAGGGGACCATTTCATTCTATATTTTTTTAGTAGTTTAATCCTATCCTTTTCTCTTTTTGGTCAGTGGTTGTAATTATAAAAATGAAAAAGTGAAAAAAAAAAAAAAGAAAAACGAAAAAGGGTTGGGTGATGCCTACTTCCCATTGGAATACAAGATTTATTTGAATAATAGGCTTCCTCTTTTTTCATCGCTGAATGGAATGGAGCAACGTAGATGATTCGTGCAGCTAATTTCAAATTTATTAAAAAATAAACATGTTCCGTCTTAGCTTTATTTATTGTATGCATTCTTTATCCTCTAACGGTGAATTGAATAGAGTATTGAGAATATACTTATGTTGTTTGTCAATTTATAAAGAATAAATTGTTGCATAATTTTTGTTTTATCACGTCTTCTTTCCATGTACTAATTGTTAAATGAGGGAGTGGCGTTTAGTTGATTTCAAATTGTATAGAGAAAAAGTGATTTTGCATTTGTTTAAGATAATATTTAAATGATATACAACTGATTTTATCTAATAGTTTAAACTTTTAGATTAATGGTTTAACGTAAAGTAGGTAAAACTTATGGATGCTTACATGTAAAGGAATTTGTTGAAGATAATATTTAGCCCTCATTTGTTTTCTATTATTTGCCCATTAAAATGAAAAATATTACTGTTATTCATTACATCAAGTCATCATATTTGACTTTCTATTTTTTGTGTGGGATTCATAACGACTATATTTTTCATTCGTATTTTTATATTAATATATATCAAACGGGGCCTTAAATTGTACATGGCCTTTTAGCATAATTTTGGAAAAAGGAAATGCATGTGTCCGTTTGGCTGGTTGACCAATCATATCTCTGTATCATTTATTTATTTAATGGCAGCTGCCTTTTGGCTCATTCCATGGCTTTTCTTTTGACGGGAAATATATGGAAATAACCTTTTCAAAATTCAAAAGAGTTAGGCTCTGTTCTCTTTACCGTTTTCGGGTCATTTTCTGTTTTCGATTTTTCAAAACGGTGAAAACGTGTTCTATTTCCCGTTTTCAAAAACGAATTTTCGAAAACGAAAAAAAAATTTGTGAAGAAAACACAAAACCACTTTTTTGTCGTTTTGGGCGTTTTCAGTGTAAAACTTGAAAAAATTGAAAACTCGGGAAACACTTCTTTTTTTTTTTTTTTTTTTTTTTTTTTTTGGGGGGGGACTTTTTTTTTTTGAGGAGGTGGTGTGGTGATTCTCAAAATTTCAAAAAAAATTCGAAATTAAAAATTTTTTTTTTGAGGAGATAGTGTGGTGATTCTCAAAATTTCAAAAAAAAAAAAATTAATTTTTTTTTTACTTTTTTTGGTGTTTTGAGGTGGTGTTGTGATGATTCTCAAAATTTAAAAAAAAAAATTTGTTTTTTGTTTTGAGAAACTAACAAAAAGAACGCATTTTCAACAATTTCAAAACAAACACTCAAAACACAAAACTCAAAATGAATTCAAAACTCAAAACACAAAATTGAAACACAAAGAGAATACCCCCTTACTTTTCCAAAATGAGGCAATTTACATACCAAAAGTATCCTTCATTTGAATATTAAATAATAAGGCATCATAATATAGAAATTTTCTATTTTAATCCTCAAAATTAAATATTGATTGAAATTTGATAATTTTTATTTGATTTATTTGATTAATATTTTTATTTGATTTTTGTTCGCTCTAAGTAGCCCCCTAATTGGTATCAGAGCCATAGAGATCATGAAAATTAAAATAAGAAAAATAGATAATTATTGGTGTTTAGAAGAAGAAAATGGTAGTTATATATTTTTAAAACATATTCATAATAAATTAAAAATAATGACTTTGACAATAATTAAAGAACTTCTTAAAAGAAATAAAGGAACAAATATTAGAAAAATTAATAATAGAAAAAATAAAAGATATTTATACATATGAAAAAATTATTAATATATATGAAGATGAAGAAAATAATTTATATTATAAAGAAAAATATGAGTATTATTGATAATACACATCAAAAATTGAATAAATTACTTTTAAAAATGGATAAAATACAAGAAGAAATAAGAAATATAATGTTAGTACTAGAACGAATGAGAATATCAAAGAATAGACAATTAACAAAATTAAAATGTGAAAGACTAAGACTAGAGAGCCAATATTTCACTATAGTAAAAGAAAAATTAGTAGATCCAGAAACAGCTAAAAAAAGATTTAGAAAAATAATAGATAAAAAAGAAGATAAAGGATGCAAATTAACTTATGAGTTAGAAATAAGAAAAAATTAAGATGTCAATAAGTGAATATATAGAAGAATTAAAATCATTAATAAAAATGTTAATAAATGATGTACAAGATTTGAGAAATGAAGTAAAAGAAACAAGAAATGATATAAATATATTAAAAATTGAGATTAGAGAATTAAAAGAAAATAATAAGAATAAAGATAAAAAAATAGATAAAAAAAACTTATAGAAAAAGAAATAACTCGAATAGGAAAGAATTATATAGAAAAAGAAAATATAGTAGTAGAAACAGGAAGTATGGATGATGAATTTAGAAAAAAATATATTACCAGAGATATTAGAAGAAGAAGAAGAATTTAGAGAAAAATCATTAGGAAAATTAAAAATAAAAGAAAAAGAAGATAAAAATGAATGAAGAATTAGAGTTATTAATAGAAAATTTTGATCGATTAAGCTTAACTAATATAAGTGAATACCAAGTTTTAATGAATATTGGGGAGGACCTAATCCAGCAGGAACCTCTAAATAAGAATTACATGATACAGATGAAAGCTATGCACTTATATATAATAAATCATATAGACAATTTTATGATAAAGTAAGAGACAACCACCTAAAGGAAATAAATATAAAGATATGTTTGAATTAAATGATAATTATGATAAACCAATTAATCAAGAAGGAACAAAACTAGATTTAAATTGTAAAATAAATATTAGAAAAACCTTTTTAACTTGGGCAGAATCGATGATATTATTATTTTTATATAATAAAGATGACACATGAGAAAGTACTGAAAGAAGAATAGATTTCTTAATAGCATCCTTTAAAGGAGATGTTAGAAATTGGTAAGAATGAATAAGTAATAATACAAAAACATTAATAAAAAGAAATGCACAAACAGAAATAATCAAATCAGATAGACAAGGTATAAAAAAATTAGTAGAATATATTTCTGATGAATTTTTAGCAGAAAATTAGATAAGAAATGTTGAAAAAGAAAAAATAAGAGAAAAAGATAGTGCTATGATTAAATTAATAAATTTAACAATATGTGATATGCGTAAAATTAAAGAATATACTTGTGAATTTAGAAACTATTATTATGTTCAATTTTACAGTAATGAAAATTAAGAAGTATACCAAGATATGTACTATAATAAATTACCAGGTTCTTGGGGAATATATTTTAAAGTAGAATTTGAAAAATA